CTGCAGCTCCCCAGGCAGTAAAGGAGGAGTGGGGTCATCAGCCCACCCTGCCCAGGAGAAGTTCCTCCTCCCTGAGGTGCGAGGGACCCATCTCCAGGCTTTCCAGCCCTGGTCCCAGAGAGGAACCTGCTGGGATGGGCACCGAGTGCTGTGCCCAGCCCTGGGAGCTTGAGGGCAGCAGGAGGCTAAGACCGGTCAGGCGCTGGTGCGGCACATGGCAGGCTGCAGCCTCGTGCTCCCTGGGACAGGGCCCTCTGTGACAGCCCTGACCCTGCAGTGCCGGGGACAGTGCTGAAATGAGTGAGGACACTGATCCTCCGCAGCAGCACCCTGGAGGGCGAGGGGTGGCAGCCCACACGTGCTGTGTCAGCCTGGGCCCGGCCACCTCAGAGCAGCCGTTCAGCGCTGCCTCAAGCTGAGTGGGTTGTTCTGGCGCAGTGGTAGAAGCCAGCACAATCGGAGCACAGGAAAGGACAAACGGGTGCACGTGGCCCCAGCGTGGGGCAAGGTGCTCTGTTGGGGGTCAGACACACACAGCATTTGTCCAGCAACAAGTGTATTGGACCCCAGTATTGGGGCCTGGCCCAGGGCCCGACAGGAGCCTTGAGCCTCAGGAGCTCCCTGCCAGCATGGAGCAACCTTCAATAAACGGCTTTGAGGGAAGCGAGGTTGGTGCCTGGCTTTGTGGTGACTGGTCCCCGGTGCTGCCCAACCCGGCTCGCAGGGTGCCACAGGCGTCCTCCCTTGTGCTGGTGTGGACGTGGGTGCCATCTCCCACAGCCATGGCGTGCACACAGCCAAACCCTCAAACCGCGCGGGCAGTGGGAGGGGAAGCACCTGTGCGGGGCTGAGGTGTGCCCTGACTCCCTGCCTGACCATCAGGCAGCCCCCCGCCCTGCCATGGAGGATGTGCCCTGTCCTTCCCCTTGTGGCGTGTTGTCCTGGTGCCTGTCACACCGTGCCACGGCTCTTCAGTGGTGGCTCAGATCTGGCTGAGAGGAGGGAGGTGCAGAGTCGCCAGCGCACTGTGGAACACGTCCCTCACTGCTCCCAGTAGCTGGAGGCGGGCAAACATCTGGTCAAAGAGGTGAGGGAATGGCTCCTGCAGGGAGAAAGGCAGTGACTGGGGGCTGGTGGCCCTCATGACCCTTGACAGGGCGGGCCCT